TAACTTTAGCTCTCTCGTCTTTACCACAGTTATGTTTTCCTATTCCACTATGTAGGCAGGCAAGTAAGGACTCTATGTAACTTGTTTTGTCTCAAACATTCCACTGAGTTATTTTTCAGCACCTGCAAAAAACTAGAATGCACTGGGGCTGAATATAGCAAAAATTCAAGATAAAATTGCAGAGCTTACCAGTAAACGGAAGTCCCATTGATCGGCATGCCACTTGAGCATCTTCGTCAGTCCATTTATCATGACATACTTATCTCCATTCATCTCTAATGTTTAGTTCATAATTCCAGAATAAAGATTGGCATATACACTGCCATAATTGTACAGACGTGACCAGCTACACCTGTGCCCCCCTTCATCCCATACCCACTCTTTCATTTTTTGACATGTCTACTTTGCTCCACCCATGTCCGTCTCACATAACTATGAGAGTACATATTGTTTTCTCACACATAAAGTAAGAAAATTGAGACAGCTCCCTTTCAATAGCACCAGACCCACCTTGTGAAGAGCGGAAGACAAGGGTGCTCAGAAACACAAATGAGTCCTATCCTTGGAAAGAGGGTGAGGGTTTGGTGCAGATTTGTTGGATGGGTCAGTGGAGGTTTGTCTGTGACGATGGATGGGATATTAATGCTGCAAGAGTTTTCTGCAGGGAACATTACTTGCTTACTGAAGGTAAAGTAATAATCCAATGTGTTAAGTTGTTAGCTAATAATTTTAACCATTGGTACGCATGTACCGTTTGTCTCTAAGTGTGTGTTGTATGTCGCCAAACATGATGTATCTAGCCTTAAAAAGTTTCAAAAACCATCCTTACACTATTGTCAGCAAGCTGAACATAACTGTGTGTACCGGAGTAAGTATACAGAACTGTTACAAAATCCCTGTTTATGCAACTTCGTGTATATACTTGAATGACCCGCATTAAAGTATCTCTGAAACGCAATGGGCAATTGACTCTACTACAAAGTTTCAAGAAAGGTCAATATAGCTGTAGAGTGCAATTATCCCGACCTAATGCGTAGTTTTTACATACACATTGACACATTATAGACGGTGAAAGAAAAAGATGAGGTATCTTACAGATTGCCATCTTCCTTTTTGATTACCTGCCGGATCCTTATTTCAATCGAATATTGTTTCCTTGAAGCCTAGTTAACAAAGCCTAGCTCATGTTCAAGTTGCATCATGCTGCTGTAAACACGTGTGAGTGAAGGGTGTACTTCACCCAAAAAATGGTCAAGAGATTCAGGAGATATCTGATTGCAGAAATGAACTAAATGAGACACTTATGTATAATTATGAGTGAGATAGCATGCAAAAAATACCTGCCATGCTATTTAACAAACCTTACTCGATGTTTATCTCTGCTTTTTCCACAGACACTGCTATAACTTCTTTTCATTATCATTTTGATATTGATATCAATCAAGTACATTACTGGCTGGATGATATTCAATGTACTGGAGAAGAAAACGGCTTGATGGACTGTGAGCATGAACGTCTGGGTATTCACAACTGTGCACAGCATGAGATAGCGGCTGTCATATGTGAGTTTATCTAGTATCATTGAGTGCTGAACTCTGTGTGCATTCATCATATCCATGCAGGCAATGGCACCGAGCAAAATTTTACACTTGAACCCTACCCAGGCGGGACAGCATATGGTCCATTCTCTAACAAAGGTCTCAAACAAATAGGTAAGTCTTTAGAGTACTGTCAAGGTAGTCCTTAGGGACTTATTCTCTATGCCAATTTTACTGAAAATACATACTACGCAGCACGGGCATTTAGGGCTTGCTATGCTTGGAGTAAACACTGCATGAGTGGTTCGGCTGGGTTCCCTATGGCTCATGTTTAAAAACAAACGTGTGTGTCTGTGTCCACATCCAATCTGGGCATGTACATGTACATGTATGTGCTCTTTAGGCCCACATCGCTACACACCCTCCTATATAGCAGATTTTGTTTTCTGTCCCAGATTATGCAATAGGAGCTGTTGCTACAGTTGAAGTAGGAGCTATCTGTGGCCTGATTGAATTTGATCTTGAAGGCAATGGAACGATCACCGTGGAGGTCGATATACTGGGACTGAAAGGTTTTCAGAGTGTACATTGTTATACACTTCCAAATGTACAACCCGAGGTCACCACTCTAAAACAGCTATGACGCGTCACTAATGACAGTCGTTTGTCCCATTACTGTCCAGATTAGAAAATCCAAGAGGAAAATTGCATGAAATTAAGGGAGACAGAAAGTCATTCAAACCCCACAAAGTTCCTCGGTTGTTACAGAGTGCCATTTGTAAGTGCAGCATTGCGCTGACATTATGGTGTTCTTTTTAGAAATTGTTGGAGTGAATTCGTGCATGGAGAAGTGAAAGAACAGTAATAACGCGTAGGAATGTGTTGCCAGAGTACAGAGTACTATTGTACATGTGTGTATATTCATGTGTACATTCACTCCCTAACTCTCTCGATTCGTTGTGATGTTTTTTAGTCACAGAAAGGTATGATTGGGGATTCAACAATGATGCAACAGGGATGCACAGAGATACCCTTTGATCCAGCTGGGTTTTTGGAAACTGCAACTATGATAGCACTGCAAACTCTCTATAAAGTAAGTGTTCGTCTTTCTTTTAACCCTCGATGCACATACACGTTGGGGGTTACTGTAGTCAACATTTTAAAGGTCCAAAAGCCTTTGGTCCATACTCATGCATAGCATGTCCAATCTGGTGACATCCTAGCTAGCATATGTCATGTGACTCGACAGTTTTTTGTCAAGCAGTATTAACCCTTGGTGCCCATGCGCAGTGAGGGTTGCGGTACTTGGTCTGTGTGTGTGTGTCTGTCTGCAGCTATTCTCGCAGCACTACAGGCTACGAGGCGGACTAACAGCAATACCAACGGCTTTATAACTACGTGAACCTGAAATATATATATATGGTGATTTTGGTGTACTCCACATAATAATTATGCCGTGAAAACAAGTGAAAAGCCAATATGCATAATCGCACTACGTAGCTTACCTCATCCCGACCCTCTTGCTCTGTGTACCTTGGAGGCTCAAGAAGTCACAACTAATGATGTGTATCAACTCCAGCCCACTATTTACTAGTGTAGCTAGCCCACATCAGACCCTCCGCGAGCTACTAGTGTAGTGTGAGACCACGAGTAAAAACATACTCATAGCCCTGCCAATCAAGTAGCGGTACCACTCATGCGCCGTGGGCTGAGGGTTTACACTTCATTACTTT